GGGGGGGGGGGGGGGGGGGGGGGGGGGGGGGGGGGAATGACGGGACGCACCAGATTTTATTGATCCCAAATATGGCTCTTCAAAATTCCTACAGTGTTTCCAATTTGAACGTTATGGGACAGTTTCACAGGTAACAAGCAATAATTCCCACAGGCTGTAATTTTCAGAAAAAGTATAATTTTTAGTTGATTAAAATGTCCAAAGAGAACATGAAATGAAGATGATATCTACTCGTAGGTATAGCCGACCTTAACTCGGGAAAAAAAAAAGTTAGAAAGCTCACGAGCCAAGCACGTCTCCAATGACGACGATGAAGGTACTCCTACGAATTGAAACAGATACCGTCATGGAATCTTTTCCCTGGTGGCTGAGTCATGAATGAAGGGGGAAGACTCTTCGTCGAGGAGTGAGCGTATCGTGACATCCCGACATCCTCCTCCACGTTTTTCACTCCATATCGTCGCACGCTCGATGTTTCTATGCAGCTTGGGATAGGGCAAGCCATCTGGTAGTTACTCCAAGAAATTAGGTTTTCGTAATCGTTGTGAGATGGCGCCTACATCGCGACGAGTCACTCGATGATGCCGCTGGAATGTGTCGCTGGTACTTTTCGTACGATATTCCATGTTTCCCGACTATCACAGAGGAAGACATCGGAATTCCTCGATGCGAGTTGAGGCAGTCCAGGGAGACTTCAGGCAATTCTGGTCTGGAGGAATGGGGAAGGATGCTTCAATTAGGAAGCTCACTCCACAAACACTTGACAGTGAAGAGTACGGGGACTTATCGTGGGCAGGCTATGTCACGCTCTGAAAGAGGAGGAACAGGAGTATTTCCTTAAGCAAACCACCCAAGGTAACGTATAAGATACATAATTTAGAAGTGTTATCCCCACGGGGAGACTCGATCGTCTCCTCGCAAAGAGACGATCGAGAGAAGGTAGTTTTCGGAGAAGTATTTCCAATCGGGCTCCCATCGACTCATTAGCCTAAAGGTTCCCACCAAGGAGCATAACCGTATGAGGAAGTATAGTAAAATCTCGTATATCCGAAGTAATACGGGGGGAAAGGGAGTATAGGATAGAAAAATGTTTGCATGTGTGGGGATTTCTGCCTGTCTTCGTAGTTACCGAGTATTAGATGCTACTTCCAGGTTGTACAGCGCCAAAGCACCGCATCAACCGACGGATATTACGGATTCAGAGAAGGGAAGGAAAGAAAAGGAAAGTAAAATGGTGAGCCCTCTTTCGATCCTAAGTTTGACAGGGTAGATTTTATTGCAGGCAAATTGCAGAAAACCAGCAGTGGACAGTCGCAGAACCGACATTTTAAAGTTAGGGTTTTTTTTTTCTTAGGCCTAAGAAAAGAAAATGTGTTTCGGAAAACCGTTTTGGATGTCCGGATTTCGGGTATCCCAAGTTTTACTGTAGACCGAAAATGGAAGTACAGTGGGACACAAAAGACAGTTGACAAATGAGAAAAAGCAACTTGGCCTAAAATCTTTGCTTGGCAGGTGCTGACCGAATACGCTAAACGGAAACGCATACCAACCATGCTGACACGAGAACAACGAGTTGAGCTCGTTGTTCTGGTGTCAGCTTGATTGGTATGCGTTTCCGTTTTGCGCATTCGGTCAGCACCTGCCAAGCAAAAACAAAGACTTTAGACAAAGTTGTTTTTTGTTTCTCTCACTTCTCAACTGACTTCTTTTTAAATTTTTTTTTATCACACTGTACATCCATTGTTAAAATGTCATTTCAATTGCAGAATGCAGTGGGCGTTATATGCCCATACTAGGACACTCGTATGCCACCACTCATGTTCAATTAACATCCGCATAATTTCATCTGACTTTCAATAAACAAGGTATGGCAAAAAAGCCAAAGGACTTCTAAGACTCGTATATCTGAATGGGTTAGCACGACCCCCCTAAAGACCTACCTTCCCGCACATCCTCTCTTCTCAGCAAAACTGACTGCTATGAAAAGTCCTAGCTGCATCCCTCCGCCGCTCTTTCGATACGTGCGTCACGCCCGACAGAGATGGAATCCAGGTTAGAAGTGTAGATAAGGTTGGGTCGAAAGCGAAGCCCCGAATAATGGCGGTTCTAACCCTAGGGCAAATGACGTCACTGGTATACACCAGCCCCGACTGCTCCTTTCTCGCCATTCCGATGTAATGATACTACTTGAAGCATGATGTCCACATTTCGTAAGCAATCGCTCATTAAAAAAATATCCCTTAAATTGAGGAAGGGAAAGCTTCGAATGGAAAAGAGGCGGAGAGGATTCCGTACTGAAAAGTTTGAAGGGGATGCGACTGCAGTGAGAATATATTATTATTTACTGAAATTGTTAACATGTGTCATTTGCCCTTTTAAATGGCAATGAAAATAAGCGTTCATTGTCAGACTTCCTCGTTCTGTGTTGCTGTATCAGAGTAAGGGAGCAAAGTTTGTCATGGTCATGGCAAATCACGTGGTTTTCATGAATACCATGAAGATATTCCTTCTCACAAACTTCAACGAAAGACTTTCATTTCTTCCTCACTTTCTTGCCCTTGCTGAGCAACTCAGAATTAATGGAGAGAATCCATGTGAACAGCCGCGTTCTTACAGATATTCGGGATACTCGATGGTTGACTTGGAATTTCGATTGGGTCATCTGGGCGAAAGATGACAATCGACCCAAAAGGGTTGTTTTGGGATACCTCCCTCAGTCTACTTCAGAAATTTCGTTTTTCGCGCGTTTCCACCGCATCACTTAGATCATTCACAACCCAGGATCCTTTGAAACGACGAAACGAACGTTTCTCTCTGCCGGCTCCAAAAATCATCAGATGTTCTTGGGGGCGGCGACTGCACATAGGACTGGCATCTGCGAATGCTACGAACCTGGCAGCGCTACACTCTAGAGATGCAATCGTTCAAGGGCTATAGAATGGAGGTGGAAAGAGCAAGGCAATCTGACTAGAAAAAAAAACTAACCAATGTGACATTTTTAACAGGAGAAATAGACTAGGAAAAGGAGATTTTATCGGTCAGCCGAGGAGAGTGTATACCAGTGACGTCATTGGCTCTCTCTCTCCCCACCCCCCGCTGGGATGTAGCCCAACATTTTTCTACTCTTCTAACCTGGGATGGAATCATTAACAGTCGACGAACGTAAATCGGTAAGACGATGGCATCGTCCCCTCCATAAAAGCAGTACCGGAGATTGGGTTTTTCCGATCGTCCGATAGATAGGAATGAATCAGACGGCGCACGTGAGCGTTGTTATCGGTTGTCATGGTAACGACCCTGGCTGGAGCGGTTTTAGTAGACTGTAGGGGAGAATCGTAAATAAAGCTATTCCGCGCTTGCGTCATTGCTCTGCGAATGCGTGGCTATCGCCATCATGAAAACTCTCATGGGGTTCTGACTCATTTCCATCCGTTGTATCCATTGTCGTGTTCGACTCCGGGATCAGTGCCTTTCTCGTTCCGTCTCCGGGTTACCTCTCTGCAGTGAAAGTCAGGTGCGTCCACCGACAGGCTCATCGATCCTCCATCGCAAGCATCATTCCTTCATTGTAAGCATTTTAAACCCGATTCAATGTTCCCCGATCCGTCCCAGATTCCTCGAGCTATTATACAATTTTAATTATTAGATATCGGAACATGTGTTCCCTTCGACGAAAAACTTAAGTTTCGGAGAGAGCATTTAATTTCTAGAATGTCGCGGTTTCATGAGGTTTCCATCGATGACACTGCGTCATTCCATATCGAAATGTGGACTCGAATGCGAAGGGCGTGTCACACCTCGAATACTTCTCTTTTTCGATTCGTAACGAGACGAATAGAATGGACGAGAACCATCGACCGGAATCCTTTGTTTCAGTTGATCGTTCGTTCGGCCTTGGAAAATGGCCGGGATCGCGAAGAAGTTCCTCCTCCTCATCTGGAAGAATCTGTTGCTGCGAAAGAGACACCCGGTGTTGACGGTGTTCGAGTTCCTCATCCCGATCCTCCTCTTCGCCAGCATCTTCTGGATGAAGACGCAACTTCTGCCGAGCGGGAGCGAGGGGGACATGTCACCCCCGGCGATCTTTAAACCTGAGAGCGAAAGCGATCTCCTCAGCGCCTTCTATAACCGGACGAGATCCGTGATCCTTCTCGCCCCCAACAAATCCTCCCTTCACAAGGACATCGTCGAATCTCTCCGCAATACCTGGGGCAGCGGTCAGTGTCTCCACTAGTTAGAATTCCGAAGCTCTTCCGTAAGAAGTATCTCGGTATGGGATGGAATGATCTTCGTGAAGATCGTTCCATCCCCTAAAATTTATTTTCCACAGCAACTTTGAATTTCTTGGAGGAGGTCAAAGACTTTCGACAGTAACGTAGCATCTCCCCATTTGTTCACCAGAACACTTCTCCAAAACATGATTGAGGCCTTGCAAGATATTGCTCGAGATTCCAACTTTGGGAAATCCCGAAAACCAAGAAATTACACAATGAAATCGCAGAATATGCCTCATCGAACCGCTCGCAAAAAAAAAATCGAAAGGAAATAGGGTAAAGAGCCCAGTTTTTGGTCACGCTGATACGTCCTTCCATAGGAAGTGAACACCCTGTGCGCACGCCGGGAAACACAAGTAATAGGTCCTCGTACGGGAAGATGTTGATAGAATGCTTGAAAACGGCCAGATTAACTAATTATGCTGGATTTAAGCCTCACTGACACTGACGGCAACTGGAGACCGGCCAGAAACCGGGGTGCTTACCCTATGTTACCGCTATAAGAAATCTCAGGTGGCATAATTTGAACCGGAATGCCGTGGTGAGGCAACCACATGCTCATCATCGCATTTAGGAAACAAATAAGAAGATGCTCTTGTACTGAGAAAATTCTTGCAACTTTTTCGCCTCCCTCGTGTCATATCCCTTATGTGTCATATCCATATATGCCATATCTCGATCCCTTGCTTCTCATATGTGAAATGCAAAAGCTACAGGGTGCGAGCTAAAAATGCTAAAAAGCTCTCTATATTGTATACGCTGTTTAAAAAAATAATTTCACATTCCTCGTAAGGCATAGGCAACTACGTTGTCGCTCAAAGTGCTGGAAGGGAGGTTCCGGCACGAAAGCGGAAACGTTCCCTCCTTTCCCACGTAGTCATGCTTTTCCGAGAAAAATCTGGAAATCACTCTATGCAAGAGAAATACATGGGCTTTCTCTCATCTTCCAGTAAATTCTGATCCTCCTTACTCTCAACTTTTCCCCTGTTCATAGACGAAATCGGTTGTTTGGTTTAAGAAGAGGATTTTCCGTTTTTTATCGTGAAAAGTCAGGATTTCCCGTCATTTTCGAGAATTCCATCATTCCATGTCCCGTTTCGCAATTTTCCTCTTAAGAATCCGAGATTTTTTTCGGCCGGTAGCTTGCCCTCGTTAAAAAACCGAAAGTTTGACGCGGTTGGAAAGGTGAAGAGGACATTATGAAAAGCAGCATTTCTCGATCGGTTTCTCGATGCATTTCTACGAGGAGGGAATATCTGATCGTTACGAGAAGACCCGCGATCGATTTTCGTCCCCCCCCCCCTCCGATGATAGTGTCACGGCTGGCTCAGTGACTCATGAGTATTTCGTACGAGGCTTACCTGTCTGACGTCGCTAGCATGGATGCGCGGGCTCTCAGAGCACCAAGGATGACAGAAGCATGCGGACTGTTATAGCATGACCTTCGTCAAAAATGGTGCCGTACGTTTCCTTGCCGTCGTGGTGGAATCGCTTCGGTATCGGACGTACCACTTCGATGGGAACATTACTAAATGTATCGTTCCCCATCCCTGCATTAGGGGAACGATGGGACATCTTGATATCGAGGACGGTAAAGAGTCTTCCCGGTCCGAGCAAAGCATTCGAAGGCACTCGGTCGGGAGAATTCCTGGATTCGTTTCCACCTTGCCGACTGCGTCCCAGCCACTCGATGAGCCAACTGCTGTGATACGTGAAGGCGACTCGAGTCGAATTGCGGACGAGGGGCCGTGCACACTGACTAGGAAGAGCTGCGTTGCGGCCACTACGACCGTCACAGTTCCTTGCAATCGATCTTTTCGAAGATACGCGGGGCCTTCGCTGTCGGTCGCAGTGCACTTCTCAACGGAGTCGGACGAATCATTTCCTGTCACATCCAAGCAGTGGTTCGTGCTGCGTAGCCATCGACTGCAAGTTAAGGAATCCCCAGACGATAAATTTGTCGGCTCTTTTGGTGGAATGGCTTCGGCGACAGATGATGATGCCAATCACCACTGTTGAATCTCCACAGGCGAGATACATAGATAGCTACAGGAAATAAATATCCAGGAAAGGTCTCGATATCGATTATATTCCTGATTATTTTCCATTGATTCGATCCACGAATTGTTATTTTTATTATTTTTTTTTTAGTCGAGAAGCGCTTGTTCTTGTTCTTCGAATGCAAAAACCTGAGTCATCCCCTCCTTTCGGAGAGAGCTGTATGATCTTTACGCATTTGAGATATATAGAATATTTGTATGGAGTGTGCATTTACCCAACTCGATGTCACTGCCACCATTTTCGCGGGGAAGTGCATGGTCTAGAGTTTGTGTTCTACCTCCTTTCCAGCAGATCATAAAGGGTCTTGATGAAGCTCAGGAGACGTTCTTATGGACGTGGGAGAAAACACTCCTTGTCTGCGGTGATACGAGAAACATTTTCTACTAGAGTCGCGAATTCTTTCATCTGATGACGGGATCCAAGTACATAACGTACCTACCACTATCGAGGGCTTTTTCCCTCTGGGGCCTCAAAAAAGCAAGTGTCGCAGCGCTAGCTCTCAAATTGTACACAGCCGCGTAGGATTTCGCTTGGGACCTCTGCAACCAGTGTGGGAGATGTTTCGCACACGGTCGCAGACAAGAAACGACTTGGAACTTCGCAGACGGTCGCAGTGCGGCAGCGCTGCAGCACTTCGCAATCAGTGTGCATCGGCCTTCCCCCTTTAATCCATGATTTTTTTGGCGAGAAAAATCTTGTAGGTTTCACTTAGGTCCTAGAACACGGGAAAAGTAGGAACATTTTTTCTCCCTCAAAATTGTAAGCAGTAGGCCCGAAAATGTTATTGTTACTCATTTGCTACAAACAGCATTTTCATCTTTCAAACCCACACTGCATTGGTTACATTCACTTTCGCCCAGTGGAATCTCGCCCCGCGTTCCAATCGACAAGAATCACAAGATGTGACTTCAATCTTTGACCCACACACGGTTGGGGCGAAAGTGCACAGGGGCGATATTGATTTTTATGGTTGATACCCATATCTGCCTCAACCCTTAAAAATGAGAGGCAAGGTCTAGGCTATCTCTCCCTGAGTCAGATGGATGCTGATATATTACTAGAAGAGCCACTTAAAAATCTTTGAACTCGTGGCTTTCGTTTAGATCAGTGATGAGCAACCTTTCTAGACTTCGGGCCGCAAGTGAACCTTTTAGGTTCCCAGCGGGCCGCATGTATTTACATGTTTGTATTTTTTTTATTTACTGAATTACAGGCTGAATACCAATATAATCCTATGCCTGGCTTAGTAAACCATGTAGCTGCTAACAATGTGCTACATGTGAAAATTATCTCATCTTTTATTGAGCAAAATATCAAGCAAGCCAGTTGCTCAGAGAGCAGTGATACACTGACTAAGAAGAGATTGAGGGAATGTTTGTAGATGTGGGGGAAATATAGTTATGTTTTACTTCTTGCTTCCGTTTCTCCTGCAGTGGGTAACGAAATCCTTGAGCGCACGTGCGCTCTACTCCGGATGGCATATGACAGGGGAAAAAAAATAAGTTGGCAAAGCCTCGCGGGTTGCTCACCACTGGTTTAGAAGGTAGAATCGCGGCTGGTCGTGCTGGAGACTGGGAGTGCCAAAAAGAAATACAGGAACTGGGAGGCTGGGATACAGCGTCTCCAGAATCTATTTATCTATTTCGGACAAGCGAAATTAATCTTTAAAAATAATATGCCAGCGCCCTGCATCAAGTGGTGTCATTTGGGCTCATATCCGTTCCATTCGAAGCAGTTCGTTCATATGCAATTTTTTTCAGCTGTATGACCTAATTTGTGTATTTTACACCGTCATCATATGATAGTTTCACAAGATAACAATGGTTTCTGAATCCACGAGAGACTATAGTTTCTATCCAATCCGTGTCATTTTCGGTATCCATCTAATACAGGGTGGGAAAGTGAAACTGGGAGTTGACCTTACCTCCCCTTTTAAAAAGTTGAGGCAAACGTGGTTATCAATCACGAAATCAACGATGTCGCCCCTGTGCTCTCTCGCCCCCGTTTATCGAGATGAGATGAAAGGGAAAATTTAGCAACTATCTCTCAATTAAGTCTCGAGGGCGAAAGTCTACGGGGTCGAAAGTGGAAGACACCGCTGCATTGACGCTCGAGAGTTCGGTCGGTCCGTCGACACTCGTACATACCTCGAGGCAAAAGAAAATGTAAAAATACAGATGAACTTGGACCCTTGATTAGCGTAGTTTAAAATGATTGCACCAAAAAGTCAGTCTGTCACCAGACGAAGCCATTTGCTTCTTTTTTGGTCCAATTTGCATGCCACCAGGGGTGTATGGCACCTAGCGACCACATGGTTGCTGGGTTAAAGGACCGGACTGTTGCACATCTGCTACGAACCGATTTACCTCAGGAGCTCGCTACCTACGCATTCTTAAAATTGTTATTTGGTATGTAGCACATCTACTACGTCATACATTAAAGAGTTAAGGTCCTTCTTTTCGATGCTTTCAATTTTACCCTGAAGGTAAACGGATCAACCTGCCCGAAATGTCGCACCTTTGCCCTCGAGAAATATGCTTCGAAGACATCGTACGTTCATGATGCATAGTTTAATAGGTTGACCGCCACGAGGCGCACCGGTGCACTCACTGAATGGGAAAATCAATAGGCCGGCATTGCCGTGGTGGTCAACGTGTTAAAGAGCAAGAGGGGGAGGGGATGACAAGATCCCCCCTCCCCCCTTCATGTAGGGATCCGGAAATTGGGGATTGGAAGTTAGACTTATATAGGTTAAATATGCCCATATCATTTTGAACTCTCAATTTTCAACCTTCACTTTCGTGATTCTTATCTTCGTCCTTTGATCCGTCACCGTTCCTGACAAAAAAAAATAATTCCTAAAACATTCAGGCTATATCCATAAATCTACTTTTTCATATCCAAATAAAAACGAGTCGGGAGAGGTATCGAGGACGAGCAGGCCTGTTTGTCTTATACGAATTGTTGGGCCGAGTGGCTAGTACGTCGAACCGAATTCGACCGGTACTTATAGTAAACATTTAAACCGTTGAAAGATCTTCCCTGGCATCGGTCTCGTCGGTGATGAGAACACGGCCAGAACGTGGACAAGATATTCCGATCCGAACTCTCTGGGGATTAATTGAAACAGGAGCGGACGGTGCGATTCGAGACCGCGCATGCATGGGTCTTGTCACCCGACACTGCACGTCATGTGCTCACCCCCTTTGTTTGCAAACACTCCTTGTAAGCTGCCGTCGAGTCCGTTCGGTGTGGGCTGCGATGGAAATTTCCGCTTTCTTGGTGATGGGAGGGCGTGTCGTTCCTTTCCAAACGGGGAGATGGAGGTGTCATGCTCGTAATATCCCTCGTATCCGGCAGAACAATTAACACGAAAAGGCTATCACTTTAGGAATTAAACCTCTGATTCCCGTTACACGAGGAGGTCATAATTGTGGGAATTTCAAGGATCACTCTGTGTTCTCGACGATTTGCGTCACGAACTCGATTTCTCGGGTTCCTTCCCCGACGTGTCGATGCGGTAAGTTCCGTATCGTATCGTCAAGAGAATACTTGTATCGCGACGAACTCATAAATGCCACTTATGTTCGGAAAGCAACCACTCGATAAGATTACTTCCACTTTCGCCCCAGAATTCCGATTGACAAGAATTACAAGGTGCGATTTAATATTCGATTTACACACTGTTGGGGTGAAAGTACACAGGGGCGACTTTCCACGCCTCATTTTCATGACTGAAAAAGCCTTATCTACCTCAATCATTAAGAAGGGAAGGCCAGGTCAACTCCCAGTTTCACTATCCCACCCTGTGTAAGACAGGAAACCTTCTCCTTCGCCTGATTCACGACATCCGAGAATCCGTTCGAGAATCGTACTAACACGAGATATTCCAAATCCAAGCATCTAACAAAGTGTATCAACTTTCCATCAACTCAATAAATGACCGTCTGAGTGCAACAGTTTCATATAAACAGGATTCGAGTGAGGACGTGTTTCGCATTTCATTTTTAATACGAATTTACTCATCACCGTATGTAAACGACTGAATCTACAGTATACCATCTGCTGGAGACTCCAATGGTCATCAGATTCATGGGCCGCCTTCATATCCATTCTCTTCCTTCCTTCATATCCATTTTCTGCCCAGCATATGGAATACTAGTTTTGCCGAGACACCTTTTCACCATCCAGTCGATTCCCTCTGAAGCGATATTGATGTCCGCATTTTTCCTCTCCTATCTATATAGATCGTATCCGGGATTTTCTGACGGAGGAGGATCTGCTGACGTTCGTGGAGGTGAACGAGTTTCAGGACCCGGACCGACGCGTGGACATCGCAGGTGCAGTCGTGTTTGTCGGAACGGACGAGAAAAACTTTCGCTATAAAATCCGGATCGAGAAATTCAGTCCTATCACATCATTCCTCTTCGATCCTGCCCCCATCCCGGGATTCTTAGAGCACGACGGTAAGAGGAAATATCTACCATCCTATTGCTTTCGATCGATGTCCAAGTTTTCCGACCATCAGGTATGATTGCTGGCGGCATAAGTTAGAGGAAATTTTCAATCGGATCAGGAATAGTCTTTGAATGGTATTTTTCGTCACTCAATTTGTCAGTATTAAGAAGTAAAACCAATAGAGTCGTACGAGCTCAGGTTCAGGGATGCTGGTTGCATGACAGAAAAGTCGGCATCGTTTATATGGTTTCCTCCACTCTCCTACTTCTATCTCAATGACGGAATCGAGAAGCCCCTCCCCGATCCTCGCAAAAATGCGCCGCTTAATGTTTCCAAAGACATCGCAAGGTTTGCACGAGTTTGGATGCTTCGTGAGAGGACCCTGTTGCACAGAATACGTAAAAAATCGCGTGACGAAGCTATTGATGTACCGAACTCGACGGAGGATAGAGGTGGGGATCATTTCATTAAAGGGAATGCTGCGTCGGAAAACTGGATATAATTGATGTATTGAAAAGGGAAATAGAAACGATGAATGCTGGGACGAGGAAAACGTGACGATACAAACGATTTTTTTTTAATTGGCATTTTTACGGTTAAGTTGGTGGCACAACCAATTTCCTGAAATTTGGATCACTCGACATAAGCGACGAGGCCAAAAATTGAAAAAGTAGACTGTAATCCTTATGTGGATACGTACTATTCTATTACCGGATAATCCAGACTGAGAGAAGGAATAAGTGGAAGGAACAGAGACAAGAACAGAAACTTTATTGTCCTCATTTTTCATTAGCAACGAGAGCCTTCACTAACCTGACGAAAAAAGAACGAAACCGTAATTCGTTCTACATCGCGAGATGGGACTCCCGTTGTCACCCGTTCCTAAATTTTTCAAATTCTTACAGTAACGCGTTACTTGTATCGCGTTACTACCCAACCGCAGTCATTTGGCATGTAAAGTTGGGAACATTTTTCTTGGAACGCTCGATGTCTGTTCCCTCGATTCTGTTCCCTTTCGGGCAATCAAAATAAGTCTACGATTGCACAGCAGCGTCTTTCTTTCCTAAGCACAAAATGCACCGAAATGTCAGAATTAACGGATGTAATGCTCACAAATGGAAAGAAGGGGACAAATTTTTTAAAACCTTTTCTGTACTGTGGTTGCGACTTGTTCTTTGCAGATATGTACCGTGGTTCATTCATCCCTCTACAACTGCTCGTAAACAGTGCCTGGATCCGAGTCATGAACAATGATCATAATGAGAACGAACCGCTCTTCAAAGACTTTATGGTAAGAAAGAAATGGTACTTTCTAATTCCTTGTGTTTCCTTGCGAGCCTTTTCCGTTACGGAAGAGGCCGCTCTCACAAACAAATCGTCCCCCTCCCCCTCAGGTGGATTTGGAATAAGGTGATCGTCCCTCTAGGCGGAAATCCACTTTCTGGAGAGATGTCCACCTGGTCGTAAAGCTACCCTGGAGAGACATCCACCTGATTCCAAATTCTTTTTGAAGGAATTCCCAGGTGGATTCCCACCGAGTGGGACGATCACCTGATTCCAATTCCACCTCCTATCTCTTCGTCATCCACTTGCCGCTGAGACCTGGTGGATGCAGGTGGACATTTTCACCCCCATCCATCTGGCTCTTCCACTCCAAACTGACGAGAGGCTGAATACCATCTTTCCATCAGATTATACCATATCCGATAGTCTTTCTCATTTCAAATTAAAATTACACCCATTTAATTTTTTCATCTCTGAAGTAGCTTCATTATTCATTTACCTTCATAACTGTACTTTTATGACTTCTCGTTTTATTATTTAATTACAATGCTCGTTTGACACGAACTGTCTCTGCTCGAAGCGCGTACCATCTGGAGCTCGCCTTCATTTTATCATTTTAAAATAGGTCAAGGTTCGACGGATGCCATACCCGGAACACGAAAAGAATTATGCGGGCCTGGTTTCCTTCATCTTCGGCATCATGATCCCCATGTTCACCGTGTTCGGCTACCTCTTCATCATCCCCGTTCAGCATCTCAGCGTTGTCCGTGAGAAACAATCTGGAATCAAGGTAAGTCCCTCCCATCCTGCTTTCTGGATCCTCTAGGCGTGCAAACGAGCAAAAGAGTGGCAAGAAACGGGTCGGAAAGTGGGAACATTAATACGCGAGGCGTTCATTTGAACCCTCAACTCCAGCGGTGGTCCCATGAATATCTTCTTATAGTTTATCCGGTCCAACTTTCCCACGCCGGTATTGCCTATTTTACGGTAGATCATTAATTTTGCGTTGTCAGCCTGTCAAAATGTCGGAAAGGGGCTCGAGGCTATCAGTGGCAGACCTAGGTGTTCCTGGCACTCGTCAGGCATCTTATCAAGATTTCTAAAACCATACATATGTAATGCCCCCCCTCCCCTCAGAAGCGTCGCGCCAGTGTCTGGCGGAGGGGTCAAAGGGAAATCACCCTCTCCCCTCAGGGGGAGAGGAAGATGGATGGCATTTAACGACTCATTTGAGGATTAAAAGTGTGGCAATGCTGGACCGGATAGACTACACCTGTTGAGACTCGATGTTCTTCAGCTTCCTTTGTGCTCCATCATTCTAACTGAAAGCCATTACTCCTACTTTCGATCTCAACTCTCAAACTCAACTCAATATCGATGGAATTTGACGGAGAAAAATAAAATAACAATAAAAATAACAATTCGTGGATCGAATCAATGGAAAAGATCGGTCAGCACAGAACTGAAGCGAATGAGAAAGTTTTCAAGGATGTCTTTAAATTTACTGGCTTACTTCGTAGGGTGTTCGAGCACTTCGGGCTCTCTTCAGTAGAATGCCCTGTGAACGAATGCGAAGGCGTGAAATGAGGTGTTGGCTAACAAGATTTTAAGAATGCCTGTTATAGTAAGAGGAAAATAGTACAGTATTTAAAAAAAGGAAGGTCTGCTTCGGTCTGTTACTCGCGAGTTATATGGGTGTCCGTACGAAATAGGAGCTGATGAAGATGATGGGGATGCCACGGAGCCTGTACTGGCTCACTCATTTCGTGAATGGAGGCTTTTCCGTCATCCTCATTTCGTTCATCGGGACCATGTTCCTCAGCGTTGGAGGAGTCCTGAGCCAATCCGATGGATCTCTCGTCTTCCTTCTCCTCCTCCTCTACGGCTTCGCTTTTCTCGGATTCTGCTATCTCATTACCACCTTCTTCCAGAGATGTGAGAACCGGCACTCATTCATTTCTAATCGATTGCGTCTTGGTACTTGCACAATATTGAAGGTTCAGTATAATTTATTTTGTGGAACTCATTTGCGACAAGATCATCATGTACCTCGCAACGTCTATAAAGTAAATCTTCTTTCACAGAGTGCTTTTAAAAGGATTCTAAATGCGCCGGAGGACATGGGTCATATCATTATATCATTTGAAATATCAATATTAAATATAATTTGAAAGACATCTCACGGAAATGAGGAGATTCCTATTGCACCGGTACTACGCTTCATTAATCGAATGATGCTTTTATACCATAGGATAGTTCATTTTATTCTCCGTGCAAGGGATGAATTGTGCCAACACGTCTTCGAATTCTGCTTGGGAATGTGTCACGTTCGGTTTCCAATGCATATGTTCGACAACTCCAATGTATTATGATAGGAATTACTGCTGGGGAAGCAGCTTCCAACCAGGGAAAGCTTCCAAGGTTTTTTTTCCCATTGCTCCGACTGGGATATTCCAAGTTGAAAAACCGGACCAGATGGATTTAGGGAATATTTTTAGATAAATTATGGCGAATTTCATGACGTCAGCGGTCGCTCGGCACAGATGAAATGCAAAAAATTAAAGATTTAAGAATTAATGCAGATCCCATTGGCTAGAATGAGTAATTTTCGGAGATGGCGCTGTCATTGCGGATGAATATGATCCTTGAAACCGTTGAAGAATTTTGAAGAGGAGAAATTATTTTAAAAACGCGAAATATTCGAAAGGAAATTGCGTATTTGTGTTCTCTGGATGAGATGATGGAAATGAGACAATGAAGGAAATGAACGGATGAATGCAGTGTTGCTGACGATCCCGTTGGCGATGATCTTGATGCTGGTCTCATACATGGCACCTACGTTCAGCATGGGTCTTTGGACGAGCTCGGAAGAGTCTCAGACGACGGTGACACCAGCCTCTGCCGTTGCTCTCAGCCTCCTTCCCAACATGGCCCTCGTCTTTGGCATTCGCATCATCAGCTTCCTCGAAGGAAGAGGTAACTCCACAGAGCGTCCCAAACAATTCCCTACCCAAGTAAAGACAAAGTTTGAAACGAAGTATGAAGCTTGGCAGTAAACAAAATCCCTCAATTGGCAGAGTAAGGATAAATTATTATTATGCTCGATGCTCGACGCGTCCACCGTTCATTTTGATAACTACTCGAATATGGAAAATGAATTTTGCGATATCCTTATTCAGGGAACTGATGGTGATCATCTTCAAGGCATCTTCAACGTTGTGGTGAAGTCGTGCTTAAAAAGTTTTTTTTTTCAGAATAAACTAGAGACTTCAGAAAGTCATCAATTCAACACCTTAAATAAAGTTATTGCAGACTTTACATACCATATGAATAACTTTTTGTTCCTCTGTCAAATGAGGTATTTAGCTTCCATCCACACTTCATGTTTCATTGAATAAATCGTCTATCCTTTTGAGGCGAATCGCATAGGACAAGGGTATCAAACGTACGGCCCGCGGGCCGGATCTTGCCCGCGGACGTGGTTCATCCGGCCCGCCGTCTGTTCAAGAAACTTCCGCTAGGATTGACTGTCGGCACAAATTTCGGTGAAAATTATGGGTGCGGCCCTCAGATACCTGCAATGTTAGAAATGCGGCCCGCCAACCGGACACCCCTGGCTTAGGACATTCTGAGCTCCTGCCTCTTCATCATAATAATCTCCTGCAACTTTTTCAGTCTCCCGAGACCATTTTTGTGAAGCAACCAAAGACAGAAGCGTGCAGGGAAAGGTCTTTAGGACTGCCTCACTTCACCGATGCTTCAGATTTTACATTCTCCTATGCAGATAATTCAGGATGAAGAAAGGTAGATCTCTGTGATGGAGACTGAAGTACAATTTCCTACCTCTCAATAAAGCTTCGCTGGTAATTGTCTCATTCAGATGCAGGGCTGAAAGTGAGCAATTTGCTTATATTTAATTTCGACGATTTTAATGGAAGAGGTCCTGGATTCTTCAATGCTTGCAGGGATTTTTGCTGGTGGCATCAGTTTAGCTTAAGGTGGAATGAGCTATGAATGTCCCGGAAATCACTTTACTCTCCATTTATATAAGAACCTTCAGTATTTCAGGTTCTGAAGGGTTTTCTTTCAGTCGCACCTTGATTCCTTCGGGAAGGAAAAAAATTCAAAATGGAGATACTTTGTGTCCGGTCTACAGGAAGAGATTTGTTTTTGTAGGAGACGGGGTGACCTGGCAGAACCTTTACGATCGGCCATTCGTCGCTGACAAGATGTCCATGGGATTCGTCTTATTCATACTGTTGATCGATACCGTCCTCTATCTCCTTCTTACTGGATACATGGACACCGTCAGACCGGGAAAATATGGCTTGGCCGAGCCATTATACTTCTTTCTCAAAGTGAGTCTCATGAGAGAAAAAAATCAAAGGAAAGATATCGATAATGGGGGAGGGGGGGGGGGTTAACTCCCAATTAACGAAGAAATTGAAGTGCTGAAAAAAAGGGCATTCTAGCAGGAAATGATCCACCACACGTACTTAATCTAAGGCACCACATGTACTTATTCTAAGGCTGTCATGCACTAAATTACAAGTTTACAGGGTTATCCCCTCGCCGCTTTTTTTGTGGGGAGTTCAGGTCTTTCTCCATTGGTGTCTCATATACTGCACCATCTGATATAGTAATCAATTATTCTGTAAAAGTTCCTCAAGGCATCACTCCTGCTCCACCGACTTACAACTTGGTGCCAAGTGGTACTCAAGTGCTAATGTAACTTTTTGCCTTCTGCTTCCACGTTAAGATTTTAGAGGTCTTTGGACTGTAACTGGAGAGAATGACAAATTAGATGAGCAATACTTTTGAGCGCTATACATGGTGAGATAAAACTTAAGGAGCTCTATTTCAAAACTTAATTAATTACACGATATTACTCAATAAGGAACTGTTTTCCGGAATAAGTAAAAAGTAAACGTTATTACAAGAACTTAAGAAACTTCGAAAAATAATTACAGACAGAAATTACATTTACTCAGAAATTATGTGCGACTTCTTTGGATGTTCATTTGTTGGATGTGGTTAATTTCTTTATCGGGGAAAAAGGGACACGATTATTTTACAGATAGCAGAATGTTTCTTGCAGAAAGCGTCTTTATTTCTTCTTATGTCGAAATGAGCTATTCGTCTTAACAACCCATGGATATTTTTCTGCCTGAGAAAACGTATTATCTGTCAGTAACTTTTTTTTTCGGAATTTCCCAGTGGGCTGCTGGTTTCTGTTTCGTAGCATCGACACTTCCATTGAACGAAATGCACTGGTTGCCTTCTGGTAACCGGAGTGTGAATTTTCGCTGGTTGTGAGAGGGGTTTAAGCCGTGGTCAAAATCACCAGTCTACCAATGTATGATACTATGTTCTTTATTTCTTGTGAGCTTTTCCAACACTCAAAAAGGAGGTTCCGAAAAGGACCTGATTACTCAGAGGCAAGACTTGATGATATTCCTTCAAGACAACTTCTTTCCTACCTTTCTCCCCGCGTGTAGCCGTCGTTTTGGTGCCCGACGAAGAAATCCAAGAGTGACATGGAAGAGTTGGAGAGACGACGTTCATCGCGTCGAAAGAGCCGGTTCTTCGAAGAGGATCCCCGAAATCGAAAGGCCGGAATCGAGATCACAAACTTGAGGAAGGTTTTTCAGACGAATAAAGGCCCCAAGGTGGCCGTGGATGACCTGTCACTATCTGCCTGCGAGGGGGATATCACAGTCCTTTTGGGTCACAACGGTGCCGGCAAGACCACCACCATGTCTATCATCACGGGTATGAAATGTAGATTCATTCGCTATGTTTAATGGGTGGTCTTAGCAAAGGGAAAGGCAGGATGATTAGAAACCTTTGATTTTGGAACTTTCGTCGAGGCTCTCCAATGAAAGTTCAAAAGGGACAGAAGAGACTTTCCATCCTAGCCTGCACCAACCCCATCGCTCGCTATTCGAAACTTATTCCTAACCCTTCCATTCTCTTCATCGTGTCGTAGTTTCGTATAATAGGAAGCTTCAGTTGCGTTGTTTTTCACTGAAGATTGAATAACAGGACATATTGAATAACATTAAATGCAGCTCCATTTACAGTCACGCATGCAAGCACCATAGTTAAAGACCACTGAAGCTATAATATAACACTGCATTTACAATGATAGTCCTGTAGCCATCGTATTGTTCCGTAGTCGAGACTGCAGATCCGATCCGAGGTAGGAGTGGGCAATTATGCAATTAAACGCTGCTATGTCCCTATACCGTGTATTGCTGTAGAAACTATTATTTATGTAGAACGATTCCACAAACCCAAGTAAGATATTAGAGCATATTCACTTTATTCTCTCCATACCTTGTATGAGTGACCTTGTATGAGGGTCATGGAGCACACGTGATCGTGAACTTTCTCCCATTGCATGCACAACGGCAAATTTTTTTGTCTTAATAATTGTAGTGGTATTAGTTATAGTAGTAGGGATAATAATGGTCTCTCTGGCTGTGGCTTTGTGAATATTTTCACTCCTTCCTGCTTTTGTGTGATAAGGAGTTAGAAGGCACGGTCACACAATGATATTTGTGACAATGAATATCTTATCATGGTCATAAGCTTTCCCAAGAGAGTCGATCCAAGGTGCAATGACTTAACTGCCACATGGCCTGCCCGCTGCCTCATGCAAGTTGCATAGAAACTGTTTTCAACTTCAAATGCTGCTTTAGCTGCCCATGGCACCTAGCTGTCAGGCATAGCAAGTAGGATGATGCCATTGATTGTTATTTGTGCTGTGCTGACGTAAGCTTTTTGATTCACGAAGTGGAATTGCAATCTTGGGTCAAATGACTGCTTTAGTAGGACTAAGATGTTGGTGATCAAATACCACTTTGAGCTCAATAAAGCTTCTCATCCATTCACAACAAACGTTCCAAAGCTCTTTGTATACAAATTTAGCATTTTTCTGAATGTTCTCGTGCTACTTGGAATGCAGCTGAGGCAGTCTATTCCCCCCAGATGTTTCACCTGCATCGCCTGCGATTTACTACACATGCATTGACCAGAAGCTCTATTCAATGTAGGAATGTATTCGACGACGGGGGGCACGGCGTTCGTTAACGGCTACGACATCCGTCACAGCATGGACAAGGTCCGGGACAGTCTGGGATTGTGTCCGCAGCACAGCATGCTTTTCCCCGAACTCACCGTCCGGGAACACATCTTGCTCTTCGGTCAGGTTCGTTTCGCGTTCGTCCATCGTCTGCTGGCCTCTCCCGGTCGGTATCCCGTGATTCACTCCCAGATTGCGTTCTGTGCAGCTGAAAGGGCTAACGAGGAAGGAATCCATGGAATTCGGGCAAAGATACGCCGCGCTCATGATGTTACCCCTGGATCTCCAGTCTCGAGGTCTATCCGGAGGGATGAAGAGAAAGCTTTCCCTCATCATCGCCCTCATCGGCAAGACGAAGGTCAGGCTTTTTTCTCATCCGCATAGTTCCCGATTAGATAGGACCAAGTATCGCCCTACATCACATGAGTTGGTTACACAAGGATTTTCCGCGGCGTCGTAACGATATCGAGCAGAATATCGTGACTATACAATAAAATAGGTGACTCAGGCAAGGAGACATTAAAAATGAACCTCCTCTAAACCCTCTACTTGCGAAGTTAGAGTCTGCAAGGATGCGAAAGCGACTTTATTTTATTCTCACTACACACAGACATTACTTGTCATTTCTGCAATTTTTCCTTTGATGAGAAAGGGGTGATGGAGCAGCCGATGAATGACGATCATGCTGACTTTTTAGAGTTCCCCACTTCAAAATTCATGCACTTTGTCTCTACACTTCCATATTGCAACGTGAATTTGTTAGAGTAAGAATGTGTCTTATGTGGATAATCACACTCATCGAAATGCCACCACGTCTGTGGACTTCATCCCCTCAAGTAGGTTTTTCTGAGATGTGTCGTCGGGAAAAAGAGGAGAAAATGGCTATATACCACATTCCAATGCTACGCGTTAAGCTCATGAAGCTATGAAGTGTTGAAATTCCCTCGAATGAAGAAACAAGCACGAGTAATCTTCCTATATTGCTACACATTCCCTCGTGACATGTCATGGAGTATCGCCTAATATATTATTGGTTCTATACGCCGATTTGCATCCCATACCATGAGTGAAACGGAGAGTTAATGAGCTACAAAGTATTCTACTTGGTTGCATGGCGTAGTTGTGAAAAGAGAGATTTTTGGAAAAGGAAGGTAGGCTTATCATTATGTACGACCCTCAGAGATTACCATTAAACTAAGTGATGCAACGTAAAGCTAGAAGTAGTTTACCGTTTCTCCATCTGTATGATTACGAAGGTGGTGATTCTGGACGAGCCATCGTCAGGACTGGACCCCGAAGCCCGCCGAATCGTCTGGAATATCCTCCAGGTAGATCACGGCCTTTTCCTAATCAATGCCATCGACTTCATTGCATGGAATTCCAGCCGAATCGTTCGTTTCCACTTTGCAGGACGAAAAACGAAATCGAACGATTCTCTTGACGACCCACTTCATGGAGGAAGCGGATGTGCTGGGCGATCGCATCGCCATCATGGCCCATGGTCAACTTCAATGCGTCGGATCCTCCATGTTCCTCAAGCGGCAATACGGTATTCTCTATTTCGAAAAACTATCTCGAATAATTTTTTTTCTAAATTGCAAAAAAAGTGAATTGAAAGATGATGAGAATGCATATTTGCATCCATTGAATTAGCCAGACCCCCCCCCCCTTTTTCTTTTAAGAGTAAGTTGGCGGGGGGGGGGATGCCTCCCAGTTCCCATTCATGCCCTCCCCTACTGATGACTGGTTTCCCAAATGTGGCTCCCTGGGCTAGCTCAAGAAAGTGTTGATATTATATTTTGTTTCATTATGTACTTATTTTGCTGCTGGCGCCATGCTGACGATTTCATCGAATCATTTCCATCGATTCACCTTTATTATTGAGTCTGAAATGAATTGAGTTATAGGCAAGCTCGCTGAAAAAATTTTTTTGATAGAACCCTCACTCAAGGACACTCGTAGAAAGCAGCACTTCGCTGAAGTAAGAGGGAGCCCTTTTCAGCCCTTGTCTTCCTAACCCAAGGCCCTAGAAATGACATCACGAGTGGCCGTGATGATGTTTTCATATTCTCCATCGTCTTTCTCCATAAATTAAAGGAAAAACATGCAATTATTTTAATTGTACTATGTATTTCTGGATGCAGGGACGGGTTATACGTTGACGGTGACGAAGACGTTGAACTTCGCTGAGGCGGAACTTCTATCCCTCTTGCAAAAATCCTGCCCGGAAGCGACGCTAAAGAGCAGTGCAGGAAGCGAAGCGAGCTTCATGTTGCCTTCTTCCAGCGTGGGAGCTTTCCCTTCGATCCTTGGAGCCCTGGACTCAGCCAAGACTGAGTTCGGCATTCGAAGCTTCGGCATCTCCGCTACCACTCTCGAAGAAGTCTTCCTCAGGTTCCCATCTCCCATTCGGCGACCATCGGGTATGGAATGAAGGAGGCTGATAAAATACGATTTCCCTCTCAGGGTTGGAGAAGGAGCAGATGCCGAAGAGGTTGACTTGAAGAATCGAGCAAGCGCCAATATCACCAATACACCTCATGCTAGTACATCAAGTGAGAACGTTTCCTTCTCGATCATATTCTGTAACATTCTATGAACTGGAAGTGAAACTTGCTGTGAACAGCTCATTCCTTTCATTGGATGAGGTATACATACCTCGTAGATACATGAAATTGCTTTGAAGAACATTTATTATTTGATTATTTCTCGAAGGTAACTTTTTTTCCTCCCTCTGATAGTGCTTATGGGAATGGAAGGGAAGAAGAGCAACGCTTCCCTCCTCTTGCTGCAGTTTTGGGCCCTTCTTATCAAAAAGTTTCTTTACCTCTCTAGAAAGTGGAAACTGCTCATCAGCCAGGTAAGCAGACATTTGCCTACCCATGCAGTGCCTAGGCTTTGATTTTTGTCGTGTCGTCTCTCCATAAACACGAGATCTTTTCTGCTCGTCTCACGTACGAGTACAGGCCATCATACCCCTGGCCCTGGTCGTTGGAGCTCTTTACCTCGACCAAGCCTCGACGGTAGGAGCTCAGCAGCCGTTCGAGCTGAAGATGAATGTTGACGTATATGGAAAGAACTACGTCCCATATGAAAATTGGTCGAGTCTTCACGGAAAACTCATGGACCACTTCCTCAGTGGACTACCAGATTCCAGCACACCTGAGGTGATGCTTCATCAGCCTCCCTACAGACATTCCTCTCAATTAGTTTAATGCGAAATAACATGATGTTGGCGTGAACTGCGTCATGATGATAGAGAAAAATATATCCTCTTGGAATTTTCGAGGCGATACCTTACTTACAAAACAAATTTTGCGACTGTTTCTCATTGATCCAAAGAAAATTTTGTAGAAGCATATGGGATTACGTTTCTGACCATCAAGTAAAATTTTCTTCATAACCATAAGCGAAGTTCTTCTCTCAGTTTCATTCGTGATCCTTGAGCAAACTCAATGCTATCAGTATAGTGCTGTCGTGGGATTCAATGTGTTACTTGTAATGACTCCTGCTGATCATTCCGGATAGAATTCAAGCGAAGAGAATTTCGACGGTTACTTGCTGGGAATCGGGAAAGAAGACGAATCTAAGTACCGAGTCCGCTACGTAATCGGTGGGTCCTTGACCGAAGAAGGTGTGAATACCAATTTCACAGCCTACTATCAGACGATCCCGTATCACAGCAGTGGAATCGCCGTGAATCACATGAGTGACGCCCTGGCTAAGTACTACCTTGGGTCAGACCATTCCATCCTCGCCTCCAATCAGCCTCTCCCTATGAGCAAGTTGGTCAGGGGAATTCACAATTTCATACCAAAGATAAGAACGGATTTCGCAGAGATGATTCTGGAGCTGGTGGTGATTTCGTGCAGGCGAAGGTGATCGACAGTTTCACGCAGCCTGGGATGTTGTCGAATTTCGGGTCGTCCTTCTCGTACGCCAACTGCATGGGACTGGGACTCTTCCTCCTCGCCTGCTCCTTCGTCGTCTTCCCCACCGAGGAAAACGGATCGGCTGCCAAACAGCTCCAACTCATGACCGGGGTCTGTTTCCAATCCGATGCTTTTTCTTCCGTGACGGCTGCGAATCGGCGAAAAGTAATGGGAAAGAGGAAACGGAACGGTTGCAGGTCCGGCCGGGGTTGTACTGGCTCAGCCACTTAGTCGGAGATGGTGTCGTCTTCCTCATCGTTTCAGCTATCATCATTGGGATCTTGGGCGCAATCAACACCAACGGCATCTTCGCAAATAATTACGGATGTCTCGGTAGGCTTACGTATTTCATCGCTCCACACGAGCAGATTTCATTGGTAGGGTAAAATACTCAATGATGGGCCTGTTAAGGGCCTGTATTGTGATGGGCCACGGCGCAGGAAAATTCCGAGAACTAAGCATGTGTAGCATGAACACCTCTGAAGTGACATATATGCTTGCATGTTGCTAGCCTATATCACGACAGGGGCATGCGTGCTATGGAAGTTTAGCTTTTGGTATTTTTATGCGCTGTGGCTCATCACTGGGAACCGGTTCATCACTGCGTACTTTACCCCAGGACTTCGATAATCGATACATGCAGCCCTCGCACGACAAGAGGAAGCTGTCGTAGCATGGCTTAACGGAACACGACACTTCTCTATATCCCTTTTCTCCTTATAAATTTCTCTTTATAAAGGCCCTCTGAGGGATTAACGTCCGTTTGATTTTCAAACGTAAATGTCTCATGGCCTGAGACCGTAACTTCCTCTACTGAATACAGATTCCTTGTCGATTTCTTGAATCATAAATCCAACAAAAGAGGTGCCAAATCCTTTTGAGCTGATGAAGTCGCTCTTTCATTCCCAAGAGAGATGCAAAAACCCGTATCAATAGGAACGCCATATAGTGAAGTGGGAAGTTTTTGGATGCTTCCTCGGACCGCCGTGCCAGAAAAGCTTGGAGTCTCCTTCCGCCGGGTCACCATTTCAAACGAATCCCACTTTTGTTCAAGAAGGCTTCTTAACCTACTTGTCAAGTTGTTCGCGGAAGGGGCAGGGACTAAACGTTAACCTAACGCATTATACGCATTCACAAGCCGGCAAGTGAAAACTACTGGTGCAAAACCCTCATCGCAACTGTAGCCGATTGGTCTATACTTATTCAAATCACCTTGGTATTATTCCGCGTGACAGACTACCCCAAAGATCATTCTAAGAGACCCAAACGGGCGAAAAGTTTAGGTCTCTTACTCGACTTCCGCAAAGCCCATCGAAAATTCATTCAGAATACGAATTCCAGTCCATTTGAATCACCATGAAGGAGGGATTAAGAAATAACTGGTATGAAATAATATTTCATTTTGGACGTGACCAGGTTCCCTGTTTTGTCTGCTGCTGGCGTACGGCTTCGCCGCTCTTCCTTTTGCCTACGTGTTCAGTTTCCGCTTCAAGAGCAGCGGGACGGCTTTCGCCATCCATGCCCTCGTCAACATCTTCTTCGGTCTGCACGCCGCACTTTCTCCCTTATTCTGAGGAGATTCATTTGATATTCACACTCTTCCGGTCGCATTTCCGTCAGGGATCCTGTTCTTGCCGGTAATTGTACTGTTCGAAGCGAGCGGAGATCAGGAATTGATGGATGTGTCTGAGATCCTCAAGTGGTTCGTGGGCCTATTCCCACCTTTCGGCATTGAATATGGCATCTTCAGCCTCATAGATCTGGCCTACAAGAACCAACGATGCGAACTCATAGACGCCGATGTAAAGGAAATGGTGTGCTCAGGGAATGTGACGGGCGACTCTGCCGCCATCGGAATTTGCTGTGGTCGGTACTGTTTTCTCACCTCAAAACTCTATCATTTCGACTTTGCACTTCATTGGAGCCTGAATTCTCTTCGAGTTTCGTTCCCTTTCCAATACAAAGCATATGATCTGTTGAACTTGTTTCAGATGATTCGGGAAACTTTTGCCCATAATGGCATGTAGATTCCTGTCTATTTGTCTGCCTATTTGACAGCCCGAAAATTAATTCTAACATTACATGTCCGAACGACACAAAATCTATAAATTATTTGTCTGGTTCGTATTACGGTCTCCCAAGCAGGAGCTGGTTGTAGGAGAAAATAAGCTAATTATGACTTCTATTGGCTCCTGGCGTACAGAATAATTCTTGTTCTAAAGTGCTAAGCGATAAATAATTTGACTAAACAGATGACTGCGTCAGCCGGGGGGGCTGCTTCGAGCCCGAGACCTACATCAGGTGGGATGGGGTGAACATCGGTCAGCCCCTCACTATGTTGAGCTACGCAGGTGTCTTCTGGCTCGTCTTCCTCGTTCTTCTCGAGAAACGCTACCTGCAGCGATTCTGGGCTCGACTCTTCTCATACAAAGCGACGAATCCTTACGAGAACGTTCAAGTGGACGAGGACGTCTTCCGTGAGGAAGAGCGGATCACGGACCTTCTCCGAAGAGGTTTTATCTCCTTCCTATAACAAACGTTCAGATCAGCATGACGAAATTGCCGTAGATGACAAAAATTTTTAAAGAGCCAGGTAATGAAGGGGTTCTGCGTCTTCCAAAATACAGGTGTACCGTCGAACTCGATCAAAACATCATTTGAAAAGCCATGCAGAAAATCGTCGTTAATGACTAAGTTTCTCTAAAAGAGTAGTAGCATTTATTTATTTACTTAACCGAATTCTAAAAATTTTCCAAGTTATGGAAACAAATGAATTTAAAATTCCACGCTCATGACGGACTACTGCTTTATTTTGAATCGCAACTTAAGATTAGAATTAAGACTTTGAGATGACTTAACATGTTTCCTCCCTCACCTTCCTTCAGTCCTTCCTTCAGTGTGCATTGCACGCACGAAACCCTCCGGGAAAGCGGATTCTAGAAAAAAAGGACGCTGGGGGTTTTCGATGGTCCATGTTCTCAACGATAGGATTTCTAGTCATTGCAGAGTGTGATGACGAATTGCGAACTTTACCACACTTCCATACGAACGAGAGTATCGCAATAACCGATCTTACTGTAAGCGAAGCATAAATGCATGCATCTTATCGACACGAGGGCGGGACCATGCATTATTCGCCTCTACAAACGAGGTCTCTTAGTAACCGAGGCCGTTATGACTGAGTTCGACTGTAATTAAGACTTTAGTTCAGTTCACGACCCATTCCACAGACCAATGCATATTGCAACAAAGTTTCATTTTATAAAAATAAAAAAGGAATGGACGAGATTATTTCCCTGCACATATCCACAGAGAGAAATCGAAATGAAATTGAAAAGAACGTATGGATGCTACTGCATTACTTCACAAAAAATCCCTTGACTCTCCTGGGCGAAAGTCTGTAAGCCATTCCCAGGAAATGGGAGTGTCTTCAGCATAATCTTCAGCATTTCTATGAAGCCTTCTTGAGACTATGTCCTTCACATATTCTCTTTTATGCGACTTCATTTCAATCATAGTGTTAGTTTAGATATGGAGAATAAGAACCATAGGCATTGGACAGCAAATGTGCATCATGCAAGAGAGAATTCGATGAAGAGTTACAGTTAATTCAAAAAGAATTGGTCGGATTGCGGAATCTAATACCGATATAAAACCAGCCTGCCTCCAAGCTGTTGGTACACAGGGATCTCATTCCGGATGTAGAACCGGATATTCGGAATTGGAACTGATTTAATGCATCTGTTGTATGAGCTAATTATGTTAAAACCCTGTGAGATATTGTGGCCGTGCTCCATCTTCTGGTATTGCGATGCATGAGATGTTCTGCAAAAGGGGTCGAAGGCATCGAATGGGGATGTGGGTGGGTGAAAATTTTCCCATGGATTTCATTTCGATTTCTCAGATCTGTGAACTCGATAGAAAATCTGGTCTATCCCGTTTTAATTGACTCTGACATCACTTCCTATGGTAGACTGAAACAACGCAAACTTTATGCTCACCCTGTACAACTCGAACATGAATTCCACTTCGTTGAATATAGGAGAATCGGATAAGGATGCCCTGCTGGCGGTAGGACTGAGGAAAACTTTCAAAACCTTTGTTGCCGTGGATCATATGAACATCGGAGTCCACCACGGGGAATGTTTTGGCCTATTGGGCGTGAATGGAGCAGGGAAGACGACGACGTTCAAGATGATGACCGGAGCCGAACTCATGACTTCAGGCGCCTCCTACATCCTCGGATACGACCTCGAGAAACAACGCAGCAAGGTTCCATTTCCCACTCATCCAATTAGGCTAAGTATTTCTCACTCGGTCGGCATCTTCTCTCAATCGCGATGTCTTGCTTGCAGTATCTATTCCACGTCGGTTACTGTCCTCAATTCGATGCTCTGGTGGATCTGATGACTGGGAAGGAGACTCTATTGATGTATGCCCGACTTCGAGGCATTCCAAAATCCGTCATGGGAACACATGTCAACACTCTCATTGACAAACTCGGTATGCACTACACTTCGGCTAGTTAAAAAAAAAACTAAAACTAAAATAAGATGCGATCATTTCCTAGAAGAAAGCTATGAGACCCCGCCCTTATGAAAAGGTTCAATAGGAATCCTATAGTTCTAAAGGGTTTTTAAACTTGAAGAACTTGTAGGATTCCTATATATTCCTTTAGGACTTTAACGTAAGGGCGAAGTGACTCAGTATCACTGATTCGAGAAACTCTAATTTGAATTTTGATAAATTTGTGGGATATCTGGATAGGATTGACGGAGTACAAGGACAAGTACTGTGGGACGTACAGCGGAGGAAACAAGAGGAAATTGAGCACGGCAATAGCAATGGTAGGGGAACCGACGCTGCTGTTTCTGGACGAGCCGACCTCTGGCGTGGACCCTGTTTCCAGGCGCAACATCTGGCAGGCTCTCATCGACTGCACCAACAATGGACAGAGCATAGTCCTCACTTCCCACAGGTACTGGGGGGAGCTACGAGGTCTTTCACTGTTGTTTTCAATTTCGAAAAATTTTTCACCCTGCAAAATACTTTTTATTTGAGAAACTACTATTAAAATCAGAAGCACTTGCTTTTCCAACTCGAGTAACTCACAATGAAGGATGGGTGATTGAAGAAGCAATGACTTCGTCAGTTTTTTTCTCCATTCATAACATTGCTTAGAATTTCGCGTGTCCAGTTCGTTTTTGTTGAGCAGCAGAGAGTAAGAAGGGCTTTCAAAGCGGAAAACAATGCAGATTAAAAGAAGTCCCGATGATTGAAGAAAAAATGCTTATCTGAATAAGTAATTTTCCTTCCATTATCGCGACTTTTGTATTGAGTAGTTGAGCGGAAACCCATTACCATCGGTGTTTCGAAAAGTTACTCATCTGCCTTCATTGACGTCTCTGGACATTAATGAGGATGAAACTGTACTGACAGCATGGAGGAATGCGAGTCACTGTGTCACCGACTCGGGATCATGGTGAACGGCCGATTCAGATGCCTGGGTAACCCGCAGTATCTCAAGGACAAATTCTGTCAAGGGTACTCCATCAAGGTGAAGACTAAGATGTCCGCGTCAGAAGAGGATATCGCAACACTCGAGGCCTTCATAACTCAGACCATTCCTGGATCCTCTCTCCAAGACAAATATCTGGTAAGTTTGGAGGTGTCATCTTTTTTCCATGCGCGGATGAAGCTTATTACTCTAAGCCTTGAAGGCAAAGAGGAACCTGTACTCGTCAACAGTTACGTCAAGCATACAACAACGTAATGATGTAAGTTGTGAACTCTATAAGGGCATTTTTTCTTTACCGGTCCGGAGAGTTTCAACACATTGAGGGCTAAGTCTCAGCTGTTTGGATCCATACATAATTGAATGGAGGCAAAGTCGGGATGCTGACAGCACCAGCAAGTAGTTGGGTCCTTTTTTTGTCAGGACAGAGAGAAAGAAGTTACATGACTTTTTTCCAGATTCAAAAACATTCCTTGAATCAAAATACTTTTTTTTTAATGGTTATCCATAAGGTTCAGAAGTGTAGAGCCTCTTTTAAATGCCCAGGTTAATGTGTTGATTAAAAGTGTTAATTAAAATTTATTAAATCTCACATAAGGTCTTGCTCACCATGTAAATATATGCTGCTCGAAAGCAATCTTTCCTTAATGCGACATAAAGAAGTTGAATTGTGATGTGACTTCTTTTTTCAGGGACTGCTGAACTTCCGAGTCCCAAGGGGGGATGTGACTTGGGCGCAGCTCTTTTCAACTGTGAGCGAGATGAAGACTAGATTCGAGAAATTGATCGAAGATTCTCTAGTCGGGGAAACGAGCCTCGAGCAAGTCTTTCTCTCATTCACGAGTGAGCAGATTCAGCCAAGGCCCAAAGCCAAGTGCCGCCTATGCCCTTGTACTCGAAGCAAGTCTCGATGAAGACTGATTTCTGAAGGATATTCATGATGAATTTTTGCTCCTTCTCCTTTTCTAAAATTATTCTTATACCAAAGAATATAAAAATTTATTGTCAAGACTTGAGTTCGGATATGCGCTGCATGCAGTTTAAATTCGGATGGAAGATCATTTGTCATCTTTATCATATTGCTGGAGACTGGGTCCCCAAGAATCAATGGAGCCCAGACGAATGTAAACTATCAGGAAATGGGAATTCCACGATGAGGCTATTCATCGGAGATGCTCTGGCTGTGCTGCCAATCACTTTTCCTGGTGGGGAATGCTCTAAGGCCCTGAAGCGGACGGTCCCCTTTCACTTCACCCGCCACTTCACCTGCCCCTTCCTTATTTCTATTTCTGTCGGTTTCAGGCTGCAAAATATTCAATAAATCCCGTCCCTTCCCTGCAAATCCACAGCCAGATAAGCATCGTGATTTCCACCCTCATCCAGTTTCAGTTTGTTCTCACATTTTTGTGACAGATCAGGGGGAACTCCCAACAAGATTCAAAGTAGAACTATACAGTACTGATGGTATACTAGTAGTTCAGCTTTCCCACCTTGTACGTCTCCACGATGGGTCGAGTACTACCCTGGCTACCATTGAAATTGCAACATCTAGATGGAGTTGAACGATAACGATTACGTTCGGTACATAAACTCCCAGCAGTGTAACATGAAATGAATTACAATTTCATCTACAAAATTATTTACTGAATTCCTTAGCAAGTTCGTTTGATCGTAAGTTCGTTAAACGCCCTTATATAATGAGGGTGAGGGTAGAGGGTCTTTAATAATCGTCTTAAAGCAGCATCCAGGAATTTACGCGTGTAATGTGGGATCATATCCTAATAGCGTCAATCAGAAGGGAACTACATTTCCAAGTTCATAGAATGAGACTATACAAAAATAACCTGCCGAGGATCGGCTGGAGTCATGGTGAAAGAGGGTAGCTTCACTGACGGCACCAGTTCCTCTACTCATTCCTTTAAGCCCCTTTGATTTGACGTCATTATTGAATGCAAAATGCCGCTAAATTAATCTGTTTGGTCGATGTCGGTTTGATGGGATTATGGAGGCAGATCTATGCATGCAGCAGTGTGCAAATCGTCTCGGCATGAATGTGGCTGCTGTGCGGTACTGGATTATCTGTTTCAGAATGGGGACAAGCACGAATAGATTGAATTCTCAAGTACCCCTTCCCTCTCCGTGGTGATGTGATGGTAGCCCCGAATCTCGTTGTCGTTCGTGGTTGACCGTCTGAAACCAGATATGCCAGCCGCACAGTGGTCACATTCAGAACGAAGACGATGTGCGACCTGATGCATGCAAAGACCTTCCCCCTCCCCCCATCATCTCAGGAGATATCGTTTCTTCGTGGTCTCACAGCCTAACATTAAAAAAATGACACGTTAACGTGCCTTTTTTCTTTTAGCCACTTCCACATTTCCGCTAATTGCGGAAGTGGCTTAAAGCAGGGGTGTCCAACATACGGCCCGCGGAGGTGATTCATCCGGTCCGCCGTCTGTTCTTGAAATTTCTACTTGGATTGACAGTCAGAACAAATTTCAGTGAAAAATTATGAGTGTGGCCCGGAGGCATCTGCAGGGGAAGGAATGCGGCCCGCTGACCGATTTGAGTTTGACACCCCTGTCTTAAAGGAAGAGGAAAAGTAAATTGGTGCTATCAGAGGAATCATACTCTTTCCTCCGTTACGCATCATCCTGTGCCCCTGAAACTTTTATCGGTATTCAATCATTCAGAAGAATGAAGCTCATATTCAAATGCCATATTTAGGGACATGAAATAATGCTTTCAAAGACTTAACTTTTCACTCCGCTCTGATAAAATCTGCTGGCAAGGAGTTGCTTCAATGTCAGCTTTACTTTAAAGCACAAAATGAGCCTCTGTTTGCTTTTCATGAGTTTGAGTTCTTCGGAGAGCTTTTGGAATTTCTCACAACTTAACTGCATTTTCCTCCCCACTTAGTATATTTTGTGCAATGAAGGATCAATTGCAGCAGAAGAGGGTGCCTGGCAGCAAGACGTAACGTTTTTCTATACTCCAATACAGGTGCTAATGTGTTGTCTTTCTGATAAAAGGGATATGAGGGTTATTAGAAGTCGTTGATAGGAGCGCTAAGGAAGAGATACGCAGCCTCCAGGATCTCAAAGGCGGTGAGACTTGATAGACCCAGACAGACCCGCACACATCCTCCAATTTCCCAACAGAATGTCGACCGAGAATGTCGTCAGCATCTCCTTGAATGTCTTCTCCAGCTTGTGAATTCCCTCTGCTTTCGGGATCCAACCGCACCAGTATACTTGATTAAAAGTTTGTAGAATGGTATACCCAGGCGGAAGAAAATTCTCCGTTGAGGGAGATTACTTGGAGATCCGAGCAAGAAGTAAGAGAAATGGAGTCAGGAACCTGACGGAAGTCGTATTCCCTGACCAAACATGGCAGCAGCAGAGTGAAGTTGTGAAGAAACCACCTCTCGGCGTAGTCGCGAAATCATGCAAGTCTTCTCGTCATCAGGAATCGTAGATGGGTTTCCCTTCTTTCCCTTTTTCCTGATACATCAAGTGCGGTATGACGCCTTTTGCCTCGTCCAACAATATCCCGTTCAGACACGCTAACACACACTGCACACGTACTTCTCACGTTAATTCTCACAAACGCCAAGAATAACTCTCTTAATGACACAGGTATCTAAAGAGGATTAAGTTACCTGACAACCTAAAAACTGCTACACGTTATGACTATCGATGAAAGGCCATTCGACAACAGACTGTATCGAGCGATCGTCCGAAAATACAGTAATTGGCAATCGTCGAAGATCAGCATCAACCATGGACTGGAAACATGAAAAGCCTAGGCGGTTTAAACATTTGACCCACAGCCGTATGTGGGTGTATTGTTTGGCTATTAAGAGAACGATCGTCTCAGAGCTGTTTGTGTTTGTCCGAGAGATTCATTTCACTGAGACACGGAGCTGGACTGCCCTGCAATCGGTGACGGACTTCACTGGCGTCAGGTACTTCCGCTCAGTCCCAGCTGACCTTTCACCATCCGCGAAGTTGCTCACAGTCTCCGCGAGCCCCAAGGCTGACACTCGCATTGATGGTCTGGGAAATTAACAAGGAATCTACATTCATCCTCATAGTGATGTTAGAGCACGAAGCACTCCGAAGCATCCGGATAAAAGACTCCCAGAATTGACAAAAGCGGAAAAAAAGCCACCCGGGATGAAAATGCAAAAAAGCCACCCAGGTCATTGCTTAATAATTTCTCATTTATATATATTTATACGTATCAGATGATTAAAGACATTCATTTGGAGACTTTAAGACACATTCATGCAGTTATGTGACTGTTATCTCTTTTTAATATTCAATGAATTGCCACCAATTTTTCAATTAATATATTATTGACTTTTTGTTTCCATTCATTGAGAATGCCCCAAAACCCCAAAAACATCTCTCGATTGAAAGCACTTCTTTAAATCGATTCTATAGAAATATTCTATCCCTACATTCATAATGTAGGGAAGAAGGACTGTTCCGTTATGAACATGGACTTCAACAGACTTAGGGACTGTGGATGGAAATGGGGGTGGGGGCAATGGGCGGTTCAGGGTGGTGGATTGAGGAGGGGAGCTAATCCTAATCCTCTCCACCCCCGGAAAAAAGGAGTGAAAGTGGATATGAGGGAGATAAAATAAAAAATAAAAATCTTCATGAACTCAGAGCAATCGTTATTGGAGAAAAAATTCCAAGAAGTGCAGAGAGAGTGCAATCATCTCATCCTGCGACACGGCCAAAATAAAAAATTTCCAGCCATAATATTCATTTTTAAGGAATGGGCTGAAGTTGGACTTTGTTTTATGTTAAATAACATTTCAGTGAAGTTGATCAAATTACATGACATCAATATCACTAAATGTTGCAAAAATGAATGAGTCTTTGATCTGACCTGAACATAACTGGATGGCGCTTTTCTGCCTTTGCCTAATCTGGGGGTCTTATTTCCGGGTGGCCTTTTTCCTAAAACCTTCAAGGCCACCCTTCATACTATCCCTTTGGAGGGCCATTCTCACCCTTCATGGATGATGCAACCCTTTCCAATTACCATATTGACAAAGCACAATAGTACTCTACTTCCAATTCTAACAACGTAACACATACACTGATATGATTTCAATATCAAGAAAAGGCCCACCTGACAACATGAAACTTGTACAATTATATCTCAATTCGTTGCATCATATTAGTGTATTGCCTTGAGCATGAATCTATCAGAGATCTGACTTTGACACGACATACTTTCCACTCATTGCATTTTACCTAATGTCATAAATTCACCTGAACCAGGGGTCCCAATCTAGGGCTAGATTTCTTGACTGTGCTCGGATGGTATTTTCTCCTCTCGAGGAAAGAGTATATGGTAAGAATGGGTTTCAAATATGGTGTTCTTCCGTGTCAGGTCACTTATCCCAAGATGGTGTCGTAGGTTTGTTTTAAGGAGTTGAATCCCTCTTCTTCCTTCCTTAGGGCCAGTATTGCCTAAAGTCTCCGCGGGCTGGCTGTCATCTTCTGATAATTATATCGTAGGCTTCTAATGTATTTCTCTTTGCTGTATGAAGGAAAAGAACTCAGATACTGCAAGAAATCAAAGAGGTGTAGCTTAGTTTCTCAACAGGCGACTCACTGAGTTGGCGACTGAGGTGTCATCTTACATCGTTGATGGTAACCTTTAGATAATAGCAAGCTGCTCCAACTAATCAAAGCGAAAGGGCAGAAGAATAACATGCTCATCAAAGGGAGGTTAAAAAGGACTAGCCGGTACCCGTGAAACATTCACGTCTTCGTATTTGAGGTTAAGCGACTAATGTCACCTTCCCCAAAACCCCGAATTTCCCAATATGCCAAATTTCAACAGGTTTGGTTCTATAATATTCATTTGAGACACTGTACTCATGTATACCAGATGAAGGAGAGGAGATCCTTCCCATCTTCCCAATTTCCCTTCACAGCAATTTAAAGAGAGTTTTGTCTCAGAGGATTCTAGGGATGACGTTCGAATTCCAATCTGCCACGCTTTGGATCAATAACAGGGGATGCGTTGCGTCATCATGGAACCTGCAATTGCATGCATGCAAGTTTTCAGGGAGTGCTGCCTCGTAGCATTCGAGTGAGATACGTTCTTCGAATTTTGAACACCCGGGCATTGGATGAGGTATGATTTTGAGCCATGTCCGGGATAAGTTTCATCTCTATTGGACCAACCCGACCCGCGGGTCAGGCCGGAAGCTCGATTGGCAATTGAGATTCCAGCTGGATGCAGGCGAATGGACTATCAGAGGAATCTTTTTCTCCAGCCGCTTACAGCTGCTGGCAAA